AAAGTGAAGAGTTCCAGAGACACATGAAGAATTGTGAATCGCTTGCGTATATCCGTTAGATTTCTCGGCTGACGTGCTGATTTACAGACGCGCATCAAACGTGGCTTGAATCGCACTTAACACGTTAACACTGCATCGTCCATCGTGTTGAATGCAACGCGAATGCGCGCTCCCTTCCTCTCTCTCCCTCTCTTGCTCGCGATATGAAATAAGCGCTGGTATCGCGCTCGACCCGACGTTTTGTCGGGCGAGACAAATGGATCCTTTTGGAACATTGACTACCGGTAACGTATTTGCCAGCCGCCACTACGCCGGCGGAATTGTTTTGTCAGCTTAAAGCGCTGGCCAGGGAGTGTTTTGTTCGGTTCAGCGGTTCGCGAGTGCGCGGCTCCCTTGTTCCATCGTTGCAGCAACGCCGTTGCACAGCACCTCCGCTTGAATCCTGCGATTTAACATTCGTTGGAAAGGAAAGCGCGCTCGTTAAGCGTTAAGCAAAATTAACCCAGTTCTGTGACGAACCGGAGCGGCTGGATCGTGTCACGCCATGAGAATGTTACCCTGGCGTACGATTTGTTGCCTCGCCGAATAGAACTTCGCGAACACATGGGCGTACCGATTGAATTCGCGACGATTTCCGCGCACGCGTGTCCCGAAAACATTCCGAAAGCAGCTGCTCTGAATATGCAATTTCCGGTGTGCCGAGTCGTTCGCGAAGAAGTTTATTCGCACGTTGCGTCACTTGTACCGCGAGATCGATATTTTTCTTGGCTTTTATAACGACGAAGAATCTCACGGTTTAAAACCACTCGGGTAGCTGACAAAGAAACTCTCTCTCTCTCTCTCGTGCCGGATCACAATGAGCTTCGATTCCATTCTAATTGTACGTATTTTGTCTTTTTATCAACACTTCTGCTTCAACATATCCTGATAATCACCGTCGGAGCTTGCCAAATAATCCGGGCGAAACTCGGCAATATCTCTCGCGTCGTGTCAATAGTATTGGGCAAATAGCGACGTGATTCCGATATTTTATGTCGGGCCTTGCTTACATATATATATATATATATATATATATACGCTATGTAAGCGTATATATATATATATATATATCGAGCACGTATATACACAGATATATACATATGCCGCGGAAAGGAAAGAAAGGAAAAGGGACGATCGCACTGCGCGGGCGATGGCATTATTCACAAAGAGGCGAGGGAGTATATCCGAGAGATAGCACTCGCCTTAGCAGATCCATTAAAGCACCCTCGCCGAGCTTAAATCACCCTTCTGTGCAACGTTCTTGCATGGAGGAGGACCGAGCGCCAAGGATTTTCCCATCTCATCTCTCTCGGTCGATTAAGCGTCTCGAATTTCGGACGACGTCCGTCAACGTGGTCCGCCATCGGTCGGGCGCGATTACGCGGTGGCGATTAATTTGCGCGGAATTTCTACGGAGAAACATCGAAAGTGGTATTTTCGAGCGAGACTTCTCATTAAATATTCGCTTCTTTTTTCACGCTCGAGGCGGCGCACACCCGTTACACGTCTCATTAGACCGGCTCTGCTCTAAATGCATTATCTATGCCACGATTAAGTACGGATCAGCGATTGGAAGAGGCCGGTCGCGGTGATTCTGGCGAAAGGACCTTTCGCTTTGCTAATTTTATCGTGACTTTAATGGAAACAAGCAGCCGTGCTCCCACATATGTTGCTTGCAAAAAAAGAGGAAGATTCACGGACGTACAGTGGAATGGAAGCTCCTAAAATTCGAAATTGTAACTAGTGCAATAAAAAGAATTGAACATATTTTCCAAATTATGTATATGATCTAAATTTATATATTGTGCTTAGAAATAATATAAGCATGTTCGTATTTTTATACAGTCGTGAATAGAAAAGTTATTTTATTCCTTAGTGGTATCGGAATTTTCGAATTAGGCGTATCATTTTTGAAAATTCATGCACGGGACTGCTATTTTGGGATATTTTTGTCGGTTTACAAAATAATTAGCAGTCATGATGAATGAATATTCAGAAATAATATTTCAAATTTGGAATTTCCGATATCATCATGTCTAGAGAGTGGGACAACCTTTTTGCCCGCTACTGTATTTGTATAGTAACGCGAATGTATCGTGTAATTTTCCCTCTCTTATATTACATATTTGTGTTTTCTTGTTATATTTATGAATATTTCGTTATATATACGTAAACAGAAGCGTCATCTGATTGCTATCGAATGTATTACCCTTGAACTTATGGGATAGATTAAAATTTATTTAGTTTAGTTAAATTATTTATTTATTATTTATTAATATTTAATATTAATAATCATTATTTATTTTAATAAACAATAATTTAAACAATATCTCTTTCAAATTGTGTTCAGATTAAATTTTCATATTTAAATTAATATATAGTTGTTGGAACCTATTAGAACCATTTGAAATTGAATAATCTCGGAAGAGTACATATTGTAGATTAATTAAGCGACAATTTTATTGTAAAATGTCATACATTGCCAGAGTAATTAAACGCATTAATTTGTTGTTAGATTAAAAGTAATATTCATGTTCATAATATGCGATTATTATAAATGTATGTTCTTTTCTTCCAAGGTTATATGATTTCAAATAATGAAATTCATTAATGAAGATACATTTCCTCGTAACACTCAAGAGAGGAGATCTCGGTGGAATTGTTTATTTAAACAAGTCTCTAATCTGATCGCGTGATTCGAAATACGATGACGGAGTCATTTAGCCGAAATCTGTGCTCACTGATTTCATGCATTTCGTACACACGTCAGTGTCTAGGTCAATATTTACTGCTGTGAATCATTTACGATCTCTGATTGAGCTCCATTAATTACAGATTCATATTCGCGGACTGCTATTCAACAGTTCCGGTCGATATTTTCCTTGTGAAAAAGTATGCATTGGAAATTCATGAAGTCGTGATTGAGGTTGTAGAATAACGACGGACTACGAATATAGCGGCCTTAATATAATGGTTCCTTCGTTGAAAAATGAAATATTCGCATAATTTGAACAATCGCGATTTTCTGGCGGTTTCAAATTTTCACCAAAATCGGCATGTCGCAATAATCGGAAATTTTCAAGCCCGTTCGTTCCGTTTCACCGAGCGAAGGATCGTTCTTACATCATGACTACCGGTGATGCATACCTTGGGCCATCCTCGTCCCCTTTCCGTTCATTTGTTCGCTCGTTCGTTCTTTCTAGCCGGACCACGTGTATTGTATTTTCTCTCATTACGCAATATGCGCCTCGGAGCATGATTTCACCTGACGATAATGAACAAGCACCCGGTGCATGGTCGCCCGAAGCGCGAGGACGTAACGCGTATTTCTGCACGACAGCGATACGTAAGAGCCGCGTCTCTTTGCTCGATGAGCGCGGCAAATCGTCCGCTTCCTGCTGCGCACGAATGAGAAAGTACGCTCCTACCATCACCGTTGCTATTGCCGTATCGCGATGTTCGTGACGAAATGCGGAGCAAACCAACGGCTCCGCTCAGTTTAACTCTGCTGCAAGCTTTTCCCGCATTTATCTGCGAATTGAGTATTTTGCCAAAAGCCCTCTATTGACATGCAAAATTCAATCGTTAAACTCATATCGCGCACAATAAATCGGTCCAAAAATCCGCTTTTATTGCGACTTGATGAAATTTGGACGAAGTGCCGCGTATTTTGTGTCGCAGGGAACCGTTGGACTTAAATGGACTCGAAATGAAATGAAAAATATAAAAATAAAAATATATCGCCTGTTCGGATTACTTTTGATTATGAGTTACCGTAAACATATTGTACCGATTATCGAGCCGTCTTATCGAGAATGATTGGTCGTATCGTGCTGACTAATGTCGGAAAGTATACGTCGTAAACGACCGAATCATCAAATAATTGGAATCTCGTCGGCGCGTAAGTGTGAGAAATCAATACGGATATCATAATAATCGCAAGGTTATCGGGTGGCAAGACATTACGTGACCTAACGCGAATGAATGGGAGAAGAAGTCGTCGTGTGCGAGGAAATATAGACTTTTGCGTGACACATGTCGCTTTCGTTGTAATCGGTGTTATCGATAAGACTGATAAGGTGCGAGGATGTGGTTTCAAGTTCGCTACGCCCAAAGTATCAATACACTCGGTGATAATCCTTCGGACGGGACGCGTCGCTGCGCGAGCACCGTCATTCGTGTCGTTCAACCATCCGTCATAACGTGTGTCCACGAGCTTCGATCGAGGAGGTAACGATGCCTGGTAAGCGGTCGAAGATGAATTAGCGTAAAATTGACGCTTTGAAATAATTGACTGAAAGCATGATTAAGTCAAACACTGTAAGTACTGTTTTATTGATTCGCAAATCGCTGTCGAAATTTGCTTTATTTAGATAACTTAAAAAATTCAACAAATTTCAATCGTTAAACTCATATCATGCAGAATAAATCGCCCACGTCGTTGAGAGAGCAAAAGAGTTGATTCATAGAATTGATTCGTATTATGATACATTACCTGTTGAAATAATAGCTGTATCGATGGAGCGATCTTATCTCACGATACGGCATTGATAGCGTTCAGGATAAACTTTTATTTGTTGCTTTTCGAAGCGGTTTATCTCCTCGATAACGTTATGTTCCAAAGTCTCTCTTGAATTTTGAGCTGTAACACGATTATTTCATATTTATATATCTTTCAGTCACTTATTGTCACAGCGAGCTGTTTATTGACAGACGCGATAAGAAAATGTACGGAGATAAAAATCTGCTCCGAAGAGATGAGATTTTTCCGAGTGGAGAGTTCATAAGAAAGTTCATAAGAATCTGCTTAGTAATGACTTGATGTGGATAATAATAACGGTTATGTTATTCGCGCGAAATTATCGGCAGCGAGCGAACAATCGATCCCAAGTCTCGTCCCGAAAATCACGACCTTTTGACGAAAGTAACGATCGTGCGAACGTCGATTATTTCCGTCGCAGGATACAAATGGATGAGATGGCCTGTGCATTATGCCGATCCTCACACGATGATCTCCGTCGGGAGGGATCTGGACGGTGCCAATCTCGTCGTAGGACGTGCCATGCACCAGGGTGACATGTTACCAGCGAAAGTTAAGCCGGAACACGGCGTCGCCTACGTGTCTCACGGAGGCTCCGAGTACACGAAACACAATTTCGAGGTATAATTTATGACACGAGCCAAGGAACTTGATCAACTTTCATCGACAGATTTCGTTGCCAAACGCACCGGAATTCCCCGCGAAATTTTGCTCGCAGACGCGATCACCTCGACGAGGCACTTTCGACGATGTTCGCGCTATTTTTCGGATCATCGATTCATTCGCGGTTACGTAAGGCACCTTGCAGTTATGCATGCTTCGACTTTCATGGGCGCGCAGTGATTTCATAATGCCACCCCATTCTCTTTTATTTTAATGAGCGAGTTTAAGGTAGTTCGTCCGTGATAATATTGTTGGAAAGGCAATGATTGATACAATACGAAGAAGCTCGACAAATCTGTGGTAAATGATTATAAGGTAAATGATATACAGCTTTGACTCGATTACAAAAGAATCAAATTTATACGTAATGTTGAAAAACTCATAAAGTGCGCGAAATTATGCGAAAGCGAAGCGAATATTCTGGGAGTAACAAGCATTCACGCAGTGTAAGATCAGCACGTGGATCGCGTTTCGAATGTGCTTTTATTATAAATTCGGGAAGACTCTTAAAGAAAGAAATTTACAGACTAACTACTTAAAGAACTCGCGCAAAAAGCTTATATAACGCGTCTCGTCCATACTCTACGTCCCGACGATGAAAGATAAGATTATACGAGCGTGCGATATTGCACGATGCGCATTATGAGTCGCGGAAATCCATACATCGCGGGATACCGCGTGCACAATGGAACGCGCGTTTCACACCGGCTCTCCGCTCTCGCTTTTCTCGCGTCTCCCTCCGCGTCTTCGCGTCTCTTTAACGAAATCGGGTCGAGACGCCATGTCTCGATCGCCGATGGCGGAAACTCCGTGGAAATGAACGTCGTTGTTCGCGTCGCTGTAACGGATAACTTCCGGCGATTTCCCGAGGATGTCGGATGAGCGAAAGCCGGGAAGAAAGCGCGCGCAACGAAACGGTGTTATCGATTGACGGCATTCGGCACGGAGCATATCCCGCTCGCATTAGACGAACCCTCTGTTTGCCGTGGCGTGCACTCGATCGCGCACGTCCAAATCAATTTCTTCTTACACTCGCCTCTAGTCGCGGATAGCCGCGTTAATCTATTTGCCTTGGGCGGGGTCGGAAGGGTGCCGGGCACCTCGCGCGCGTGATCGACCGGCGGGATACCTCGGAAAAACGCCCGCTTTTACTTCAGATACTGATGCCGGCCCATTTCAACTGGATCCATTCGAGCCACGGTCATATACCGGATCACGCGGTGGAGGCCGGAAGAACTTCGAACGGGGAAGTGTTGTTCGTCGGCCGCGCTTATCACAATGGCGTGCCCTGCGTAGGAAAGGTAACGTTCGATAGGCGCGTGTGAACGATGCGATAGGAGGGTTACATTGTCTGTTGTCCGGCAGGTTCACCGGAGCCATGGTTGCCTGTACATCCCGTACGACGGCAGGGAGATCTCGAAAAGAGACTACGAGGTCTTGGTGCAAGCCTAACTGCGAGTCTGCTCAAATGGTGGAATAATAAATTGTAAAATAGCGATAAACTATCTATACTGTAACTGTAAACTATATGATACTAAAAATATTTTAAGCTTAAACGTTTTTCGCCTCGTACCCGCGAAAAGTGAATATTTGCACACACGGAGAGAAAGTGTTTGTGACTGCATAGTGCAGTCATTGTAGTCAGCGAAATCATTTTTTTGCAAGTACTGTTACAATAATATTGACGATAATCATATTATCGCTGCTATTTTCTCATCAGAACAAAAACAAAGACATGCATGGAAGAAAGGCTGTCCATATAATAGAATTGAAATTACTAGATCTAGTTTTTAGCTGTGAGAGCTAAATACTAGTACTAGTAATTAGATACAGGGATAAAAACTTAACTAAATTAAATAAATTTCAGTTGTATTATATGGACAGGTAATTTTTACCTGTGGGAGCTACTTCCTTTTTTCCGTATGATTGTAGCGGGAAATGACTTTAATTTTAGCGAGACCATTTCTTTCTAACCATCTTTTTTCTCGATGCAGGATATAGCAATCCTACACGGAGAAAATAATTGGGTGAATTAACGTGACAATGAACGAGCCGATGGCGTTTCGATCGAAGAAAAGAATTTCTTATAAGAGCTGAATTTGATTAAGAAAAACTACATTGAAAGAAGGATTTAATAATAATTACCAAAAGATTTGCTTTCAACCAAATGTTTGATTACTATAACCAAATCATTTCCATATACCACGTACTATAATATTATACACATACAATAAACATATTAACCGAATCTTGGCAATTGTTATCAAATCCTTCTTTCAATGCAAAAATTCGATTTTTTCTAATCAAAGCTTTGTTCGTTCATTGTCACATTAATGCAACCAAACTTCTTTTTGCATATACTTGATATATTATTAATATAATTCATTTTCATACGCGTATCTTCATCGACGAAATATGGGCGAAACGATACGTCGCGATCATAAGTCGCGTCTTAAATCATGTCGCCGTATCAGTTGGGGTTTCGCCGAGTTGAACTTAGATTAAAATTTTACATAGTTGTCGGCGGAGAATCGTGTTCTTATCTACCCTCGCTCGGGTTCTATTAGCATGCGGAGAGAAGTAATTTATCGACCCTTTAGTTAATGCGCGAAAGGAAAGAGCGCGCGCGATGCCCGATCGTGCGACGACCCGGCATCGCCGCTCGTCCCGTTCTCTTAATCTGGATTGTAACTTCGGCGCGTTAGGACCCAATCGCGATTCTTCATGTCATTCGCGTCTCTTTCTTTCTCTCTTTTGGTTTTATCCGCCGGCGTCGACGATGCCACGGCGAGATTGTATCGAGTGATTTGGCGTAAGAGCGTGAGTCAGAAAATATCGTCGTTTTCGCCGGAATTTCATAACACCTTGTCTCTCACTAAACCTCATATACACAGCAATTTTCAATGGAAAGCCGAAGACACGGTGAACGACAACCGGAAGTACATTCTAGCTCGTTTTATCTGTAGTTATACGATGCAAATAATACAGACTCAAATTACAACGAGTATAAATCTCAGCGAGAGAGCAGACAGAAAATAACTTATAACAGTAAATAAAAGTAAATAATTCGCATCGCGATGCAGCAAAAAATCGATGTCCATTTCTCGAGACTACGAAGAAAAAAGTGCCTTCCCGTGCATCTATATGCAACTTCACATTCACTTCACTTAATCTCGCAGTCCTATAAATAAACAGCCGACCGTGGAGTCGATTGTTTTCCCGCCGGTGGCGATTCAATTTTTACGCTCCTCGCTTTAAGATCGTCCGAAATAAATCCCAAATGCAAATAATTGCGCACTGCACAGGAGAGCTTAGAAGAGAGGAAAGGTAGAGGGGAGAGCTGGAAGGGTAAGCGGCCACGACGACGCAACCAGTGGTCGTTTTCTGCCGGTACACCCGATAGGTGGTGGGCACGTGGCCGTTGCGGCATTATATTCCCATGGTTGGCACGTGGCCGTTCGCTTCTCCNCTCTCCACCTTCTCCTGTTTCTTCTCGTCCGTCCCGTCCCCCACGTCCACCCTTCTCACTTATTGTTCCGGGCTCGGTGCCTCGAAGCGGAATCGTCAAGGGGGGTTGCGCTATTTAATATTTTGATCGGGGAAAAGAGCGCGTCTGCGCGCAAGAGGGTGGCTTGTCCACGTGCGGCCGATCGTCCCCTTTTGATTAATTTCGGCTCGGATCGGCTGGCGCAAACTAGGATGGTGCTCGACAAAGAAGCCCGGGGGCGAGCGCGGACGAGGAGAGACAAAAAAATGGCAACAGCTGGCGGCGAGACCAGAATCGGCGGACAATGCAGACCAGGATTGAGAGAGGGTGAAACACCCCTCTCTCTCTCTCTCGGTGCCGCCGCGGTCGCCACCGTTGCGAGTAGATCGACACGCGCACGTGATCATTCTTGCGTGGTATTCGCTATAATCGGCACGGAGGATGCGCGAAAGGGGAATGCAACGTTATTAGACCGAGGGCGAGGCCGGATTCGGCCGGAGAAAATTTTCAATGACAGAGCGGCGATACACCGGATAATTAGGTCTGGGTTCGAAACCCGGCGGTGTATCGACCGGCGAGTTTCGGCGGCGAGTTCCCGGCGAGCGAGTCAGGGAACGAGAGAGCGAGCTCGGCGGTCGTCATTTTTTTTCCACGGTCATTGAATCATGAATATTAGGGATGTTCGAGGATAGCCGCTATGAAAATTGATTCTTGAATTGATTTTGTATCGAACAACTAAAACTGATTCATTAAAAAATTAGACCGTAAAAGATCAATTCTACGAAAATCGATATAGAAGCATCGTAAGATGTCTCTTCAAAGCATTTTTATTTGTTAAGGGAGGAGTATACATTTTTGCATAATATGTAGCGCATGAGGAAATGAACCAATCACATCCATTTATTTCTATGCCCGGGACGGAAATGATAAGCCTACTAGAGATTAAAGGATTCTGATTTGTTTCCTTATGTATTATGCATAAGTCTGTGTTCCTCGCCTTTTTATAGCCGGGGTCAGCGATTATTGGCCAGTTATAGAGTTCTTTTTTTCTATATATAACCTATACAAATTGAAAATCGACTTTTTGTTAAAAGAATCAATTCGCGTTGAAATCGGATTGAAAATAATCGATTGAAAATATTCGGTTCTTATTAAGAAAACAATGATTTTCTTAAAAGTCGATTCGAAATCGATCATCCCTAATGAATATCTATGATATATTTATATTTTTTAATTTTATTTAAAGTTCCCTAACTTTCATATATCCGATTGAATCCGATTGAATCCGATTGAATCCGATCTATTCATCTGCGATTTTTTTTTAATTTTATTTTATCATCGCATGTAAAAGGGATTTCTCCTTAAATAAAGATTATTATTGTTATAATACATTGATTTCGTCGAAGACGAACACAATTACGGAACATCGGACACGGTGTATCAGTTTATCGCGAATGTATGTTCCGGTTTCGTAAATAACCATGATGAGTTCATATCGATCCCACCTAAGGTCTCCGCGAAGAAGATCCTGCGAGTTTACTTTTTCGTTATCGTACTGGTTTTCGCGATATCAACGCGCAGATAAGCGAATGGTGTTCCCGCGCGCGGAATAAAAGACCTCACACCGATCGTTTTCATGTCCGTCTGCAGTTTCCATCGTTTTCACCGTAACTTCTTTGTACTCTGTACGTATTTTTATGGGTGTGTGTTTTTTTCGTTGTTTACCGGTGTCTGCGGCCTGGACAAAGCTGCCGCGACGCGTATCGTCGATGCACCGACTCGATAAATCCGCGCTTATTGCGGTTGCGTCAATCATATCGGTCGTCACATCGAAACGTAACAAGGGGATACCCGTTACCCGTAGAAACCCATTCATATACCATTTGTTCTTATAAATATCGTTGATACGTTTTTAAAATATAGAGATTTGGTTGAGTTTCATTTTAGAGGGGGGATAAAAGTGTTAGTCTGACAATGGGAGAAATCTCAAGTATAAATTAATTTCCCACAAATCGATCAAGTCTCTCTCTCCTCTCACTTTTTCTTTCTCTGTATGTTTCAAAAACTAAAATTTGCGTTTCACCAACGCGGAGACTAAAATAAATAAGATAAAATGTTATTGCGAGCGAGAGAGAAGGAGAGAGAGAGAGCGCGTTTGATCTAATCCGTTCGTGTCGGTTTTCGTACGATCGCGTCGCTGCAAGTGTGGCGTTTATTTTATTTAGGCAAATCCGCTTTCTGGAAGCTGCGGGCCTCTGCGGGCAATGAATTTGCCCATATGGCGCGGCAGATACGGCAGCCAGAACCAGAATCGAGATCCAGATTCGAGAGCGATGGATGAAAAGAGGGAGCGAGAGAGAGATCGGGCGAGAGAGGGAGGACAGCTGCTCTCTCCCCGCTGCGCCGAGAGCGTTGCAGCTGCTGTTTCGTTCAGAGGATTCACCGTTTCCATGGACGAGCCTACGGCTGTGCGATACATATGGGACTGCAGTCGCGACTGGTTCCGACATGTAGTGCAATAATAAAGTCCCGTTTTATCGGCTAGAACGTTAAAGGAATCAGCGGTAGTCGCTATTCCCTCTCTGTCTTGCTCTCTCGCTATTAATCTCTTTGATACATCGAGAGCCATGAATACGAAATCGAATCCTTATGAATTCCGTCTCAGCCGAATGGTTACGAATTCGTTCGCGAGAAACGTATCGTCGCAAAAAGGCATTTCTTATACCTCATCGTTACCTGATGCTCATTTGCCGCAAAGGGGGCTCTCGGTTTCAGCTCCGGTTATCTTCTTATTAAGCATCAGGAGTAGATTCGCATAAATTTCTAATTCTTTTCACTATCCCCCGTCGTCAGCGGCTACCTAAATTCAGCCGCGGTATTTAAGGATTAAACTCTGCGATGAGTGCACGAGCGGCAAATTAAACCTTCGAATCCAAATCCGAATTAAACTTCGGAAAATCCGATTCTCTCTCTCTCTTTCTCTCGCACGTGCTATTCAGTAGTT